ACCACATTGTTTGCATAAATAGTACAAGCAGAGTAAGCAATACTTATCAGTTAGGGTGGTGGGAAGCCTCCTTAAATTAAAGTTTGCTGATGTCAGCAAGGGCCAGCCTATAAGCAGTTCTTTCAAAGGTATGAAGTCAGGCTGCTCAGTTAACTCTTTTCTGTATAAATGGTAAATATCATTATATAACAACGAGACAGCATAAGCATAAATACAACCATTTCTTTTAAATTCTAATTAGAATCCTTTAAAATTTAGTTATTACCTGTTCTGGGGATATTGCTTGCCTCCCTTGACCCAAACCTAAGGGCTGGTCCTCAATTTAATAAGCACCATTTTGTCATCCAGGAAATGGCATCCTGAATTGGTTAAATAAATACATACATACATAAAGGCAGCAAGTCAGTCAACTCTTCCCTGTTGCTTTCCCCATGCCTTTTCTAAACATGTTTAAATTGATTGGGAGCTATGGAATTGTGTTCTTTTTACTGTATAAAAAAAAAAAAAAAAAAACACAAACTAGTCCTTTTGCTCAACCTAATTTAGATTTTTACTCTCGTACAGGGGATCTTCCAGCAGCCTGGTAAAGCCTATGGAACTCTTCTCAGAATAAAAATCAAATGAAACCCAGTGCCATCGAGCGGATTCTGACTCATAGTGGCTTTAAATTCACAAAATAAAATACATAGGATTCCAAAAGAGACACATCATACTGAAATCCAGCTTTCCTAATATTATAAAATAATTCACAATATAGTAATCTATGTGCTTCTTTACTACTGCAATAAATAACATTATCTAACAGTGGGTCCAGTAACTACCATAATCTTGAAATAGTGATGAACAAATAATATTTCAGGATAACTTCAGCGACTGTAATGTGATATGACAAAATCTATACTTTCCTTTGGTGTAGCATCACAGGTACTTCTGATAATGCTAGGTTTGTCATCTACCTTCATAATTGAAGGAAATGCTAAAGTTCAGTTAGAAATTAGGGAAAATAAGATGTACTTTTTTTTATCCAAATTTACAGTCCCCAGGTAAAATCTCCATCTCCAGTATTATAAGATCAGGGAGTCTGTTAAATCATTCATTTGCAGAAGTCACAAACTGTTGAGCCAATAGCAAGCAGATATTTATTCTGTTCGACCAAGGCAGTATTTAAAAAAAAAAAAAAAATCAAATTATTTTATAAAACAATGTGATTTCACATAAAAAAAAAAAATGCATACTTCTGGCTCTTCTGGGAAAAAAAATATGAAGACCACGTAGTACTGGGCTGGCATTCCAGCAAGGCAAATGCAGCCAGACTGAGTAGCAGCTGCCCCCTTTACAAATGACGTGTATTTATAAAAGGCCACTGTAAGTCTTGCCTCACTCATATATGTTATCTACCTGGCCCCTGAAGGCACTTGAATTTTCCATCTTTAATATATGGTGTTTTGCATTTCATGATAACCCTCTGGATGGGTCACAAGTGGAGACTTACTCTCTAACAAAGGGAGAGAGGATTTTATCTGCATACCTACAGCTGTCTCCATCTAATTTCCAGTCCTCTGTTTCTGAGGTTGCTATTCTAAAGCCCATGGGCAACCACCTGTTTTGTATATACAGTTTTACTGAAACACAACCATGCTCCTTTATTTATGTATTATCTATGGCTGCTTTCACACTACTGAGTAATTGCGACAGAGACCATATGGCTCACGAAGCCTAAGATACTATCTGGTCCTTTACAGAAAAAGTTTACCAACCCTTGTCTAGTTTTTGGGTGAAATTACCAGTTATAGCACTAGAATATTTAGATAGAGGGGTCTAGGAATGGTTAAAACCCATTGTCGTCGAGTTGATTACGACTCATAGAGACCCTATAGGACAGAGTAGAAGTGCCTGTTAGGGTTTCCGAGGCTGTAATCATAACGGAAGCAGACTGCCGCATCTTCCTCCCATGGAGCCACTGGTCTGTTTGAACCACTGACCTTTCAGTTAGCAGCTGGGTGTTTAACCACTGTGCCACCAGGGCTCCTTTAGGAATGGGTAGGGGGAGCCAATTTGTGTATTCATCCCATTTTTCCTTAATAGAGATGAACTAAGAACTTTCCCAATCCTCCCCATTGCAGCCAATGAAAACTGCACACTGTATAAACCTCTCTACTGAGTCAGTGCATGTGCTTATGTGGCTAGAGCTTATAATGGCAGAGAAGTTGGGTTAACCATCTGCCTTCCCACTTACTAGGTTGTTGGTGTTGTGTGCCATCAAGTCAATTCCGACTCGTAGCCACCCTATAGGACAGAATAGAATTTTCCCATAGGGTTTCCTAGGCTGTAATCTTTACAGAAGCAGATCACCAAGTCTTTTATCCTGTGGACCTGCTGGTAGGTTCAAATTACCAACCTCTTGGTTAGCAGCCCAGCACTTAAACATTGCACCACCAGGGCTCCTTACTTTTAGATACTTTGTTAATGGTTACGATAGCTATGAGATATAAATAGCAAACAAAGGTCATAATTTTGATGTTTCATCCGTGAAATGGAGATCATACTGTCTCATTTGTGGGTTGTGGAGAGGACTTAATAATTATTATACGTAAAATGTGTTAAAGTGCCTGGCTATACAATAGGCTCTCTAAAGGATAGTTATTATTACCGATCGTTGGAGATATTTTGCTTCTTTTATGTTGTGTAGATATTTCTTTTCCTGAGAATAACTGCAGAACACCCTGTTTCCACATTTTGCCAAGGTATTGAGAGATGTCCATCACGAACAAAAGGGCTGGATTTATAAAAACAGCCAACACAGAGAACAGGTTAGAAGGGAGGAAGCCATTGGCTATAACTCAGAGCACGTGCCTGTGCAAAGAGGCAGGTGCACTATTCTCAGATGCCATTAAAAAGACAACACAAGGCTTCTGTCTCTTGCTTCTCATCCTATCAGAGGTAGCCACACTGGTGTGTGCTTTAATCTTTCATAATCAATAAACCAAATGTGTGGCATGTGAGCGTGTGTGGGGGTGTGTGTGTGTGTGTGTGTGTGTGTGTGTGTGGGTGTATTATATGCACACATGGGAAAGAGAAAAAGAGGTAACAGAGCTCTGTGATGAGCTCATTTTGAAGAATCAAAATTTTCCACTGGTTGTCATTGTTAGTTGCCCTCAAGTCAATTCCGACTCATGGCAACCCCCACCACGTTCAGAGTGGACCTGATCCATAGGGTTTTCAAGGCTGTGATCTTTCAGAAGCTGATTGCCAGGCCTGTCTTCCGAAACACCTGTGGGTGAGTAGACCTGCCAATCTTTCAGCTAGTAGTCAAGTGCTTCACTGTTTGCACCACCCAGGGATAATCTGTCTTAATTATCCTTCTTTGAAACCTTACGTTCCAAGTATATAAGTTAGTTATTTGATTTTAAGCCCTCTGAGCCTAAGTTTCTTCATACATTTTAAGTGAAAAATAACTGTCCATTTTATTTTACAAGCATATTATAAATAGAAAATGTGATACTGTTTAAACAATATATTTTGAGGAGAACAATGGCAAATAATATACGTCCTGAGGAATTACCTGATTACGGGTTTCAGTAATCTTGCAGTATAGGGGAAGATTTAAAAAACTGGCATTTAATAAGACTTCATATGAATATAAGAGTTTCATGTATCTAACAGGCTGCCTTGCAGAGAAGGAATTTGTCATTGAAGAGGTAGAGGATAAGGAGACATAGTCCCGCTTCATACTAATAGAGACCCTGAGCTCCCTATGGAGTTTAGAGCCTAAAGCAAGAAAGTTCCATATTTAATTCATACTTAGCATCCCCTTCCACATTCATCATTACCCGAGCTTTCAGTTACTTATACAAATATGTTTCATATATGTGTGCTTCACATAGTATTCACACTTGGCTGTAAGTTCACCGAACATGGGGACTCTGCATTTAGTCTTTGTGTTCTCTACCGCTATTTGCATTGTGTCTTGCAGGTTGTAGATGCTCAATAAAAATTTGTTGATGCAAACAAAATTATAAACTGTAAGTGTCATTCACATGTAGATCAAATGTAGTAATGCGGCTACTGTGAATACTTCTACTGCTAGTCTTTTCCTTTGTTGGAGCCCTGAGTAGGGAATTACATTTATTTGATTATGTTCCTTTCTATGTTGCTATAGTACATGTGTTAATTGGTCTCATGACTTCATTTTTTCCCTCCATGTTAACTACCATGAAGGTTCTGTTTAAGGGGTAGTGGAAGGAAGGGACTGTTATTTCAAAATACTTCACCACAGACAGGCAATCATTTCAGATGAAAACTTTAAGTGCAGTTATCCCAATGTGCATTTCATTCTTGGCAATAAAAGAGCCTAGCTAATGACCAATGACCTATAAATCTGAGCTAGGAGATTTCTACATGCAAATTAAATTTGTGTCACGCTCATCAATAAAACAGAAAATAGCAATGAAGATTAAATTTGCAGCAGCAGTGCGAAGTAAAGGGTTCCTATACCTAGTTGTAGGACATGTCAGGGTGTCTAATAAATTTTTGAGACAGAGTGCTCTTTGAAAGAATTAATGTGGAGTAAGCTTTGTGAATTGATTATTAAATGAGAAGGAGGGTTTAAAGAAAGTCGGGAATGTAAAATACGCAACTAGCTTGATTAGCCTTACTAGCTTAAAAAATTCATATAATAATGTTAAGATACACTGGTATTAACTTATGGCACTATTATAAATCCCAAGAACTGACTATATCATAGTACGGTTTGTTTCTTCTCAAGTCTGCTTTCGTTTTACGTCTTAAATGATAAAGATTAAAGTCTTTACCCATACAGTCAGAGTTTTTTTCTTTTAAATGTATTAAAATATAAAGAAAGGAAAAGAAAATTGTATATGTTTAACTTAATGGAAATATATTGCTGCAAAATGAAACAAGTGTTCTACCCTTCAGCTAATATCGCATAGAATATTAACTCTCTGAATACAAATAAGGGAAATTGGATCCAGACAACATACCCGTTTCCTTAGATTGCAAGTAAGAGTCAGATTCCTCGAGAATGAGTTTGCAAAAGCTGTATAAAAGTCCAAGACTTTGAGCAAGGCTTCCCGCTTGATGATGTGCAGATCACAGTATGTCAATGCCCGGACATTGGCACAAGCATGAGCAAGCGTGGTTTCCTTCCAGAAGATGTCTCCAAATACATCACCTTTCCCTGGAAAATAGTATAGACACATATTCAAGTCTCTACAACAGTTCTTATCTGAATAACATTGTTATTCACATCACATTCATATACAGTATTGATCTTCTAGCATAATTTAGAGCCTGAGGGTGTAACCCCATCAGTATACATATAACAATGCTTTCATATAACATGTAAGGTAACATCACCCTGTATTCAGTTCTTGATGAAAATCTGGAGTGGCATGCATAAATGAAATCCAACAGAGAAGCCAGAAACCTCATTTTAACAAATAGTTTTATTATTTTCTGCCACTGTAACTTTTCCCATTGTGATGAGAAGGAGCAAAGGTGACTTATTAGTTTCATCCTTTCCTCTGCTCCTTCTAGAAGAGATGACAATAAAATGCAATATACAAGGATCTGCTGTTATAGCCTTTATAAATCTGGAACTGATTCAACATATATATTAAGCATGTATTATTCAGTGACTACATCCTGTGCCCCAAGCCAACCAAACTTGCCAGGACTTAGTTCCCCAAGGATCCAGTCCCTTGCTCTTCACCTATCATCAAACCTTAAGCAGGTCCTCAGGGCCAGCCCAAGAGCCCTATCCATAATTCCAAAGCCAAGGAAGTAAAATGTGGAAAGCCAGATTTTTATCCCATAAACTTCCATAAAGGGTGCTGTACTATCATCAAATGCAGATATATTTTTAACATTCTAAAATTCACACAGAAATCACCTAGTCATCTCAGAGCACCATGCACTGGTGACCTGTCCTCAAATGGTTGTCATTCCAAATCAAGAATAAGTAGCTGCCCGAACAAAGGGGTAGAGGAAGTATCACAATTGAAAGTGCCAAAAGGCCTTTCTGCTGAGACAGTTCCACAAGAGCCCCTGGCTTCTGAAGTGTTATCACCTGCATTCCTTGTGTGACTGCTGTAAGGAAGGCAGAGTTTTAATGTGGAAAAGATAGGGGGAATATATCCAGGTGGGAAAAACCTTCCTAAAGGCACTCTGCCAAAGACCTATTCTTTCTGCACTATAACCACAGAGATGAGCAAATACCTACTCTCATTACGTAGATTAAAGGCAGAACTGACAGGGAAAAACGAACAAACAAAAAGACATAATACTTCAAGTCAACCACACAAGAGAGAAAATATGTAATCAGAAGGGGGAGAGAGAGAGAGAGAACATAGATTCTTTGCCCATATGGGCAGTTAGTATACCTCTAGAAAACTAGTTCTATTTCTCTAGAGAACTCTGATTAAGACAACTGATAAGTGCATCATCAGTAGGTAAAAGATAATCAATATATACAGTTCTCCCTTACCAATGCAGACCAATTTTAATTGTGAAGTAATGTCTGTTATATATTTTATTATACTTAACAAACATAATTAAAATTTTTAATATACATCTACTTGAAATTTTTCAGTTTAAATTATTTAACTTTTTAATAATTATAATTATTAAAATTTAGGTATTTAACATCACCTAACAGGCACTGGTGGTGCAGTGGTTAAGAGCTCTGGCTGCTAACCAAAAGGTCAGCAGTTCGAATTCACCAGCTGCTCCTTGGAAACCCTATGAGACAGTTCTACCCTGTCCTGTAGGGTCGCTATGAGTCAGAATCGACTCAATGGCAATGAGTTTGGTTTGGTTTTTGGTTAACAGGCACTCCATTCACAACAAACTGTTATGGCACTTCTGGGAAGATGGTTGTCTTATAAATCAATTAATTAATTCATTAGACATTAGCAGAACTCGCTAAAGTCCTTCTTCAAGGCATGTTATGCACGTTTACGGTGAGTAATCTGCAGAAATCACAGGTATGTGAAGATGCCAGATTATGCATGGAATATCCAAAACAGAAGGCATCCTTTCCTTCATCACAAAGATTCTGCACACTTTCAGGGCTAGGAGCCCCTGTTCATCTTTACAACTATAGAACATTTGATGCTAGTTTTTAGGTCACCTCCCACTGGGCACAAGTGGTCTCAGCTATAAACATTTTAGAGCTTGAAAGAACTAATCTTCCCCCAAAGCCCTAAAATTAGTAGAAAAGCTCACACTCAACATGAAAGTTGTTGTTTGGTCTATTTATATTTTCTCAGTTCTTTGCATCAAGTCTTATGAAGTATTTCACTGCTAAACCATAGGAAACAGGATTGTAAAATAGAAGTAAATTTTAAAGATTCATATAGTAGGAAAATGGGAAATTTCATGAAAAAAATAAGAGTTACAGCATAATTAAAGGACTCTACAGACCATGGTATGCTTGGGGACTATGGTCTCCTGAGGTGCTAGCTTTACAGCCAGAGTTTTAAATACACATATGTGAAACACATTATGTGGTGAATTGATGACATGGATAAAATAAATGCATGAGAAGTATCCCAGTCGTTCATCAGTTAGAATAGCTAACTAATACATCCAATGGAACCCTAAAAATACAGCATTTGAATTTTATTAAGGTAGTTTTCCTGTGAGTGTACATAGGGGTGTGATGATGGTTCTGTCTGATGATTCTTCAGTATGGTCTTTAATCCATGAAAGCACTTTTATTTATTAGTCAGCCTTTCATTATAACTGATTGTTCCAGTTGTCTCAAAAACTTTATTATGAGTACATATGCATAAAAATATTCATTAATAAATGAACAACACTATGAGTTTTTAAATTACATGATTTTAAATGGACTTTGACTATTTACAAAGAGTAATTGGCATATAATAATATTTTAAAGAAGAACAGATAGAACAAGATAATGAGTATTAACATTAAGAAATGATATAGATGTATTAGAATCTTTTAAAACATTTAGAAATTATGTTTGCCAATCTACAGTGATTGATGTCTAAATTCATTCTGCTGAAAAATTATAATGGATACAAATTTGAAAACATTTTTAGAGAAGGAAAGAATAATCCTCATCTACTACATAATTCATTGATTCACGTTGTTGTTAGTTGCCGGGAGTTGATTCCAACTCATGGTGACCCTGTGTGTGCAGAGTAGAACTACTCCATAGAGTTTTCAAGGCTGTGACCTTTCGGAGCAGATTGCCAGGCTTGTCTTCCGAGGCACCTCTGGATGGGTTCTAACCACCAAACTTTGATTAGTAGTTGAGCACTTAACTGTTTGTGACATCTAGCTGTCTTTCATTGATTTAGCTTGGAGATTTTTATTTATTCACACAAAGAATGTGTCAAAGAGCCCCTATCAGGTAGATGTAAAAAAATAGAGTATTCTAATACCAGTAATGGGCAATGGTAGATACCATTAAGGAGTAGAAGAAATAGTTATAAACAGGATGATAATTTTGAGTGTGGCACTATTAGTGTTATGAACAAACTGGTTATATACTAAAACCAAAACACGTACTCAAATCAAGTAAGTTAGTAACATACCGTAAGAAAAGAAATGCAGGCATAAGACTAAATTGAAAAGCAGTTACATCTTGAAACTCTTCTGTTTTCTTTTTCTAAGAAAACATTTAGAGTTCAAGCTTATAATAATGTTCACATTATCACTGTTAAGTCATATAAATTTCATATCTGTCAAAATTGTAAGAAAATGTGGCTGGCTGCCTACACATCCCATTCACTTAATGCACCAGCATCCTAACCTAACTCTACCCTTAAACTGAAACCTGTGCTTCACACTGCAGGGGATAGAAAGATGCATGAAATACAAATCCTGCTATCCAGAAGCCTTTAACTTGGTGGGTAAGAGAGGCATGTTAAAAAAAAAAAAAAAAAACCACCCAATTGCACAATGGGAATGAAAAATAAGTGCTATAGGATCAGGACAGGCAAAGCACACAAGAAAAAAAAGTTATTTTGAATTAGAGGCACTTCGGTGTCACCATGAGTCAGAATCGACTCAGTGGCAATGGGTTTGGGATTTATTTTGTTAGGGAAGACCTCACTAAGAAGGAAGTTTTGAGTTTAATTGTAGCTGAACCTTCAAAGAAAAAGACAATATTTAAGGCTGAGAGAAGCATGATCCATCTAGGTAATGAGCAGCATCAGCCAATATACTTGAAACCTAGAGTACACAGAAAGAGGTCAAAGTTTGGTGTAAACAGAACACGAGAGGGAGAACATTGAATTCCATGCAACAGGGTTTGCTTAATTCTATTTTTAAGAATAGAATTCTTAATAGTGTTTCAAATAAAGAGCCATGACATGTCCAGCACTTTGATAGCAGAATTGATGACTATGAATGGTGCCCAAGGAAGTACTATTGGAAGACTAGTTAGCATCACCATGAAAACAGTACGATACTTCACGGATTACGAACGTGTGATTTTACCTAGCCTCACAACCACTTAATTATGAGTTAAGGCAGTGACGACAAGAGTACAGAGGAGAGAAATATGCAATAGATGTGATGGTAGAAAACAAAAGCTCTATGATTTGCCTATTGATTTGAATGGAGTAGAGGGAGAAACAGATTTAAGATACTCTAGGTAATTAATGTGAACCAAAGATTTTATATCCAACAAAACTGATTTTCAAATATAAGGGGCACAAACTAGATCATCATCATAAAAGAACTCAGGAAATATTGTTCCCATGGATCCTTTGTAAGGAATTTATCAGAGAATATGCTTCAGACAGTCAAAATGCATAGGGAGACATTGACATAAAGACTGGTAGTAGCACTAACTATATAGTTACTTGTAGAACTGAGACTAAATGAAGGTTAAAAGAGAGAGTATAGCATGTGACAATGTAGATAATGTACAACTATGAAAAATAATGGTATGTGGGGGAGAAAGGAGAATTATATGCAAAAATTCTTTTGTGTATTCAGTAATTATATTGGTGGTGGTGGTAATGGTATTACTACTGTTGTTCTAAAGTTGTTATATTTATAATGTGGCATAAAATAAATGAGAAATTATGGAATGTTTTAATTCTACCATCCTTAGCATTCTCAGGAGCCCTGGTGCCTCAGTGGTTAAACACTCAGCTGCTAACCAAAAGGTCGGTGGTTCAAACTCACCAGCCACTC